AAACTCAATGAATAACTCTTAAATCTTCAGAAATGCAATAGCGTGCTAAATGCCGCTATGAAGTGAAATATAGTGAAACGCAAATGTAGTACTTTTGATAACTTCAAAAAAAAAAAAAAACCCAACTGCCAAAAAGCACTCATTGTAAGAAACTGTAGTTTCCATAACAGCTTATGGAAAAGACCTCTTATATATACAGCATGATTTTATGAAAAGCCTGCTATTGAATCAGCTTAAGGTGATTGTACAGTTTTTCATAGAAAGATCCTGTTTGATCACTTTCCAAAAATCTGCAGCGGTTGTGAAGATTCTCAGCTGTGTTGGAGTTTGGAGACTGTGAAAACAGTTGAGAATAGTTGTTTTCTCGTGTCTCTTCTGAGATTCAGTTGTTGATTAATAGCAATGCAAATGGAAATAAGTCTGTTTCTCTTCTTAAAACTTGAGTTTTTGCTAATGGTTGATGTAATATTGCAGTCAGAGCAAAGAAACTAGCTGGGGGTTGTGTTGTGGTGACAAACTTCTAGTGCTGAAGATGCCATATGGGAGTCATCAACCATGCTAGCTGCTTTGTATGGGAGGAAAGTTTAAGTGGAATATGTCTAGAGGTTTTTTTACTACCTCTAGGGACTTCCTTCCTTTCCCTCACTGATGCTGTAAAAGAATGAAGCTTTAGTTACAGCAACGGGAGGGAGGGAAGATTCAGGGAAGCTGGACTGAGTAAGCAGGGAGTTCTGGTAAGCAACAGTTTAACAGGTGAGACTACCTTGAACTTGTAAAAAGGTTCAATGTGGGCTAAGGAGAAGGTTATTTAAAGTAAATAAAGTTGAGTAAAAGATTAGATAAACGTATTTTCTTAAGGTGGTTTTCTTTTTTAAGTTGTCTGTCTTACTCTGTTAGGCTTCCAGTACCATTTGAGTCCTCTTTGTCTCTTGTGTTGGCATGGTTTAAGTGACTCTGTTGAAGAGGTGGATGATACTACTTCCCGGTCTGTCTGAGGTGGTGTGGTTTTGTTTTGTTTTGTTTTTTTAACTTGAATATCCCATTTCTAAAATCTGCTTGAATTCTTTTTCCTGACATCCTCTTTGATGTCTCCCCAGCTTTTATCTAACTCCTGAAAATAGATCTTATTAATATCTTATTATTTTCACTCCAGCTGGTGTTGCAGAGGTTTGCATCTCAGTACTACTGTTACTGTGCTGATTCAGCATTGGTCTCATTTTCTGGCAATGTTTCAAACTTGAAATCTTGGGTATTCCTGTCGGAATAGGTTTGTATTTTGTATATTTCACACAGCTTATGTGTCACCCTCAGAACACTGTGTTAGTGCTTCAGAAGATAAGAGTAATATGGATGTTCTTGGTAAAGGTGAAACTTATTCAGAAAACTCTAGCAATTAACAGTATTTGTGCAAGTGGTCAGAAAGTGATCAAAAGGGCCTCATTAGTGAATTAAAAATGTTTGGAGATACTGAGTTGGGGAAGTCTCATGCCAACAGAATGGTGAAGATTCAAAGACAGATGGATTTATCCACGTAACTGTTAAAATTGATTCCTAAACTTCTAGCGCTAGGAGTTTGAGGCAAAGGCTTAATTATCTCTAACTTGGATCTGTTCAAATTGTTGCTCAGAATTTTAGAACTTTTTCATGCTTAGGTGGAAAATAAAGCTATTAACAACTAGCAAGTTCATTTCAGTGGGGAATTTAGTACAGAACAATAAATTTGAGAGATAGAAAATCATATGGAGCTCTTCTGGTTTTGAATTCTAACAAATAAGACTTCTTGCTAAGTTAGAAGCACAAACTGTGACTCACTTGCCAAGCAGTGTTAATTAAAATGATTTTTAGCCTACTTGTATCTGTGGGCTCTTCACAGAGTAAATACAGTAACATTGAATTCTAGTAACCTTTTGCTAAATAGACATATGCGTTCCTGTTCAGCTGAAGTAATTCCTGCCTTCCTGAAACACTAGAGGGCTTCTATTTTGCTCTTATTGTTATGTCCATAATCTCTGAAAGTCTAAAGCCAGAACATGCTGAAGGTGCATTTCCTTCCTGATGAAATGTACTTACTAAGCTTGGTGTTTTATCTAAATCTAGACTCTCTTAAAGAGTTCTAAATTAAATATTTGTTTAGCTAAAAAACTTGAATTAGAGCTTTCGGTTGGTAGATTCTATTTTCAGGGAAGTGCTTAATGGGAGGGGACTGGAGGGTTGCCCCCCCATCACTGTTTCTGTGTGTTTGTTTAGCTTCTTGGATTCATGTGTTATAATATCCTATCAAGTGGTTAGTCCAAGCTACCTGCTGAGTCACAGGAGCAAAATGGGAGGTCAGCTGGAAAAAAAAAAAAGAGTTGCTATTCGTTAATATGTAATAATAATTATTATTAGAAGATAGTGTCTACTGTCTGGGTTAGCTTCCTCTCTTGCTGCCTAGGGATTGACTAACAATAAGGTAATTGAAGCGTTTCTGTTAAGAGTAACATCTTCACTTACAATGCAATACGATAAAAATGTAAATTGGCTGGAAGAACTAAAGGCAACTGAGTACATGTGGGACATCTTGTAATGTCATGCCCTTTGTGCCTGTTTTGACTGAACTGAATTGGATTTTGAGCCCATTCCCTTCTTTCCTTTTCGCTAACTCTGATACTCATCATACAGCAGTCTGACTCGGGGAGCAAGACGGGAGAAAAATGACCCTGAACAAAAAAATTGAATTTGCAGAAATTTCTACTCCCTGCAGTTACTTGATATGGGGACAGATGATCAGCAGATGCCTGGTGCAAGAGAAGGAGCATGGATATGCTAGGAGAAAAGGAGGGAAGATGGGTGGGACTGTGGCAATACTGGATTGAATGGCTCTAGTTTTGTTATGAAACAGTATCTGTAGGCACTTTGATTCAGATCGCTTAATTACAACTTTGATCTTAAAAAACCAGGATAGCCCTTCTGTGTGGTGTTTCTAAATTATTATTAACTATTAAAAAAATATGTAATTTGGAGGAAAATAGACTTTGACAAAGCATAAAAAATGGCAGGTCAGGATTTAGCATGGCTAAAATCTTTGAGAACGCGTGCTTTAATATCTAAAGCGGAACCTATGGGTCTGGCACATGACTGAAGGGTAGAATAAATCTTATATAATATGCAAAATAGCTGGAAAATTAATTAGTAAATTTGAAAATCATTTAGCTTTGTGCTGTGCCGAAGTGATCAATTTAATATGAACTTCATCCCTGTAGCCAGGGAATGCCACATAGACATGAAGTCTATTACTTAACTTCCTGTTACCAGCTCTAGGTTGAGGAACAAATGCCCGATTCTTTGAGGCCTTGTAAGTCATTTCAGAACAAGGTCAAGCAAGGGACGCTGCTCCTGCCCTCCGCTGTATCAGTGCCACCTGCGGCTTGCCAGCATTGCCACACAACCTTTTACTCTCTTTCAGCTGAGAACTGACACCTGACTAACCTTCTGGATGAAAATAGTGGTCGTATGTTAAATTCTTGCGTTGGTGAAATTGAGCCTGTAAAGGTTCTAGAGTAAATCAAGGTCTCTGAATTTTTCTGCAGGATAGATACACGTTTTGGCTCCTATAAATAGGAAAGAAACACTTATTCCCACAAGTGTTGCATTATTCTAAAAGATCTGTTGTCATTTATGAGACTGGCATAATGCAGATCTTTAATTGCTCAGTTACATAGAAGAATCATGTCAAAGGAAGGAAGAAGGAAAACAGTGCAGGATTACTATTATCAGCATGCCCCAAAGCTGTTGCTTTTAAATTTGGGATTATAGCTGCTATTTAACAAAATTATCGTTGACACGCATGGCCTCAAGGAGAGAACTGAAAGCAAGGGCAGCGCAGCGTTGTCAGCTGATAGCCTGGAGCAGCGTCTTTGTGAAGGTCTGAAACTGTCACTTGGTGTCTTGAAGATGACCCCTTGCGTTCCTATGACCCCTGGCGTTCCTCACCTCGCTCTGCCTCTTGGAAGGAAGGAGCAGAGAGGTCGAGGACGCGTTGTTCCTGCTGTTGTGTAAAGTCAGGCTCCTTCTGCTGACCCCTAAAGAAGGCTGCTCCCGAGCAGGGTTTAAAGGCAGTGTTGGTGAACCTCCCTGCCCAAAAAGCATGATTTGGGATAGGTCTGAGTAATAACCATTGGGGAAAGTGCAAAATGTCCTTGAGATGCATTCAGTCCATCTGCTGCCGACTTCTAATGTGAAGGTCTTCTGTGAATGTCTCTGTGGTGCACCTCTCTATGGAAAATGCGTTTTTGGTAGCTATATGTTCAGCTGTAAAAGTTCTGGACTGTTTCTGCAAAATGACACCTGGAAGTAGCTAATGATGCGTACAGTAGCATTTATCGTCGTGGAAGATGGTATCATAACAACTTCCAAAAAAAAAGGTGGGGGGGGGAAATAGGGCATAGACTTCATGTTTTCTCCTAGATGTTTTGTCTACCTGTTCTAGCTTCCTCCTTCTGTTATTAGCTGTATTGGGCTTGAATAAGCTGATTTTATGCACGACACTCTGCCAGGCACTAAAGATTACTGTGAGCTGTTCCTACTTGAGACCTTAAAAAAAAAAAAATTCCTGCTCTGGGAGAATAAACTTTTGACTTCTTAAAGCAATAATTACGTCTATTAGTTTCAGTGGAAAGGTTTTAGGGAAAAAAAATCCTACGTAAATTAATATATAACATGATGCATTTCTTTCCTAAAAACTAGTTATTTTTTATTTTTGTGATTCCCTTATAAGCATGCAAATAGCAGTAGAGGTGGGCTCTGTATGGTCAGACACAGAATTCTTACCGTAACCATATGCAAAACAGTGCTACTGTTAGTTTTCTGTAAAATATTTCTTAGTTCTAGTGCATTCGACATGTTTAATTAAGCACTGAATTAAATATGTTTAATATTGAGTATATTCTCAAGTTAGTGTTTGCTGTGGCTTCTTTCTAAATAAACATTAAAATTCTGCTTTCATTTTCCATTCCCTACAGATGATGAAACATGCCTGGGATAATTATAAGCGTTACGCTTGGGGATTAAATGAACTGAAACCCATATCTAAGCAAGGACATTCAAGCAATTTGTTTGGTGAGTAGAGTGTATTTTTGTGCTTAGTGACGTTAACATGAAACAGTAAATCAGCTGAAAAGATTAAAAGTGATAAAACACATGTTCTTCCTAGCTTTTATGATGTGGTATGGCACCTCATGCTTATGCTGCATATAGAAAATAACAGTAAGTGAAGGTGGTAGTTTCCAGGACTCTTATAGATTCCCTTCGAATGAGGATAAATGAAGCATTTCATTGCTACGTCATATAGAGTTAGTATTGTTGCATTAAATACTGCCCTGCCTTAAAAGTTTTCCTACTGATGTGGAACTCATTGGCGTCACGCTCAATAAGCAGGAAGCAAGCAGTAAGGGAAGAAAAATAAATCCTGTACAAGGGACAAAAGTTGTTATTAAATATTCCTTACAGTCATGAAGGCAGCGGAAGCTGTCTACAGCTCTCAGAAATTTGTTTTTCTCACTGCTTAAAAGCACTTGTTGATCTATTTCAGTCAGGCTCTCTTTAACAGGCTTTCTCTTTCATGAAAATAACCGTTATTTGCACCTCTAGATGTTGCTGGGGAGATGCTTGAATAACAACACCTCAGTTATTCTACAGTCATGAGTTGAGAACAAATCTGAGGCTGAGAAGTTTCAATATGAGAGGGACACTGCAGAAATCCAGTGTAATGAGGCAAGACTTCTTTTAATGTGCAAGTGGGATAGAGCTCAGGATAAACAGCTGCTGAACAGCAGCAGCGTTGCGAGGAAGCATGAGCAAGCAGTCCGATCAGCTGTCTTCATCTTCAGTTTTGCAGAAAAATGAACAATTAAACTGTTTGACAGTTTGAATTTTTGTATTCAAACAACTTCTTTCCAAACAAAAAGATGAAAAATGAACTAATTTCCATAACCGTGACAAAATCAATACATTTATTTTAATATTAACAGGAGCTTATTTAGTTAAATATTTGGAAAAGATAGTTGGAAGTAGGAACAATTTCTAAAACAGCCTAAATGGAGCATATAACAAATCCTCAACTAGTTTAGAAGTTGCTAAGACTGCAGTTGTGATTACAAAAATAATTGTGAAAATATGACGCATATCTGATGTTCCTGCATTACTTCGTCTATCTAAGGTGACACTAAAAACATCATTAGATAGTTATTGTACAGTTATTGGACTTTAAATATGAGAAACCAAAGTAGCTGGGGAGAACTTCAGAGTTAATGTTGACTGAAACCTTAGTTTCTTGTGGAGAACTAAGTTTTTTAAATATCTTCATTCAGATGGCTGAGAGTTCTGAGATTTAATATTAGATTTGAAGAACTATTTCATGCAATCCCATTTGGTTTGTTTTCTTGAAGGACAACAAAATGGTACATGTACAATGTAGCTTGCATGTTGAAATACTTCATCTAGTTCTTTTTGGAATCACAAGTGGTGTAAAAATGTAAGAGTTTTGAATTCTTCATGATACTGAGTGGATCCTGCAAAGAAAAATGATAGATGCATTGGCCTGTGAAATTCTTCAGCATGAGTGCTGTGGATATTGCTGGAGAATAGATCACTGCAGGCATTCTTCAATGTGAAACAGGAAAACTATTGAATTTAAAAATAAAAGAGCATTTAAAGGGGGGGAAAAAAAGCCGGAGTAGTCAAACTGCAGGTCACTTCCTCATCACAGTCATCTAGTAAAAGATGTTATTGCTTAGGAGATTTCTTTAGAAATAAATATCTTCACTCTCATTGATCTTGACAACAAATCAGAATAAATATTGGTTCTTTCTGTCGAATTGGTTTGCAGAATATCAAAGAGCAGCATATCCACAAGCAACTCTGTCTCATAAGCTACCCTTTCCTGAATCAATAATCTTTTCAAAGAAGCAAATCCTTACTTCTGTAATAATGTCCTCAGATCATTAGACTGATCTGTACCTTCATGTCTGAATTCAGCAAACGCCTCTTCTCTTACTCAACAGGCAATTGACTTTGTTTTGCCTTTTTTTGTCAAATATTTAACTTTTTTTCTTCTTTCATTTAAAAAAAAAAGTTTTCCTATCCTCTCTGGGTTTGTTTTTTTTTGGTTTCTTATGTTTTAAAGACTGGATTGCAACTGATTGACTGCTTTTAAGGTAATTCGAAACTAAATTAGTTGAGAATAGCTCACCTCCAGCTATGAGTCCAGTGAATTTCCAGTTAACCTTCAAAAGTTAAGACCTTCAGTGCCCTGTCACCTATCATAATTATCTCCAGTTTTCCGTGGGTTGTCTTTTCTTCCAGCTTCTGGATCTCATTTTTTCAAAAATACAAGTTTCTGGTTGCAGTAAGTCTATCTTAACAGCAGTAAGACAGAGCGTATTTCATTAGCCAGCTGTTTAATTTTGAATACTTCTCCTCCTATGAATTAACCGGTGCAATTAAGGTACTCTGAATATACTGGGGGTGTCTGTTATGGGATACAGACTTTAAATATCTTGCTGTGGGGAATACCAGCTTCTAACACTGGTGCTTAATGTTGTGTAGGTTACAGACAATGTAGCTCTCCTAATATGGAAGGGGAGAGCAGCTCCCCTGCTGCTGTCAAATGAAACACCTTTTAAGCTTGATTTTTGGATGTACAAATCCTTCAATCCTACCTGGAATAATATCGCATTTTGTGAATAGATAACCATGTCTATTGCATCTTGAAGTCTCTGAAACGCACACAAAAAGGACGAGCTTTTAACAAGTGTAATTAAACGTAGATGTGACTTAGTCAGGCAATACCATCGTGAACTTGACAAAGCTTTTAATGCGATGTGATGCTATTGTCAGGCCAGGGGGCAGAGGAGTAGTGCCAGGAAAAGATGGGATGACAGCAGGAGAAAACTGGGCTGAAGCCCAGGGGGTTCTGACCTGGGGTAAGGGAAAGCATCCCGCTGTAGCTCTTGTGCAAATTCAGGGCTTTGGTAGAGCCTTTTTGTGACTGAGGACTTCTTGATGGACTTTGAAATGACATTTTATTTGTCCTAATCCCAGGCCATAAAACAGATTTTTGAAGACAAGGACTTAAAACAAGACAAGGACTTGACTTTAACTTGTTGATATGCTGTGAGCAGCCTCCGTAGACAGTGGAGGGTGTGTTCGATAAGCACGAGGGGCTCTTAAGTTGGTAGACTGTAGGCATATTCTCATTATGAGCTGCTTCTCACTTGTGCATGCTCAGAATAATTATTAGGGAAAAGGTTAAACATAAGGTAAATGGAAATATTTTTGTCTCAAGATGAAGCCAGAGCCTCACACTTGCCTCTGACCATTGCACAGGCTTTTCAGCATATACCTGTAATGTTTTGATTTCCTTGTATTTGCTACTCTAGCTTTTACCATGTTCTCTTGGCAAGTAACTAACGTTACTGTTTCGGTGTTTTATACAGTTTACACTAACTACCAAGAATTCAATTGCAGTAACACCTACTTGCAAAGGCAGAACTGAAAAGGGCATCAGTTGTTGTCTCTGTAGAGTTCTTAATAGTTTAATTCCATGAAGTTGAACAGGTACAACTGTTTCTAGGCTAATCAGGTAAATTGGAGTACTAAATATCTGTTTGTACCATACCTTTGCACGTGCAAAATGAGATCATTACCCCTTTCAAGGCAATGTCTTTTATACTGGTGTATCTTTTGTTATGTGTACTAATTGCTCCCTGCCTTGTGGAATTTAGGCCCTATGTAAGTGTTGTTAACCTTTTATATGTTAGCCTTTTAAGTTTCAGATGGTTGCTAATAATATTTGCTAAAGTACAGCTACATCCGTTTACTGTCTTAGTGTGGAAGAAAGTTACAGTGCCAAAAACACTATTAAAAAACAAACTTCCCTCTCTCCTCAAAATATTGCTAGAACCCAGGAGCTATTCCTCTCCGAGGCCCTCTGTACTTAATCTCAAAACTACTGAGCACTGCTGTGCTGGTAGAGAACGTTTTCTAGACATGTCTGCTGCACTTAAGTGAGTGTTGGTAAAGAGGTTTTTAATTATCTGTAACTGTATTTCCTGTGTAGCATTGCAGGAAATAATACTGTAATTTGTGGGCATAGTGTAACTAGTCTTGCTGCCAGTGAAAAAGGACCTTTTCTGGATGGGAATGGGGAGGTATTTAATACACAGTCAAAATCTGCCAAAGTACTATAGGTCCTATTCCTTCCAGTCTGCACTCATTTTGTAGTGTCCTCTTCAGAGTATTGAGGTATATGAAGATTTTTGAAGCCTGCCAAAATTCATGTTTAAAACTCTCTTCTAGTGCAAATCAGCATGTATTTTTAAACTGTGAGTTTATCAGTATAGCTCTGGAAAATTAATTTTATATGTATTTAAATGTTACGTGAATTTAAATGTAAACCCTTCTAAGCCCCACTCCTTTCCCCCAAACCTTGTTTTCTCTTCTCAGTTGCTGTTGGATCCCCTAAAATTATAGAATTCAGTATGTATTGTTAATTTTGGAAGTAAGCCTGACCTATTTCCCAGATAAATGAGTAGAAACTAGTCTGAAGAACAGAATTAGTGGACATGGACAAATGATTCAACAAGGATTTGGGAAAGGAGGTCAAGCTTCACAAATGCCTTCCTCCCCCTCCTTCAGGTTGTTCAGTATTAAGGCAAGGAAGTTTAGTTTATGTTATCTCTTTAGATTTCCAAAAAGCATTTATCAGGGTTATTACTGGACTCTCACAGGAATCCAGTAATGCTGAAGTTACGCTGTCAAATTACTTATCACAGGCCTGGAAAAGCAGGTCAGTAATGAGTGGCAGAGCTTGGCAATGACACGAAGTTATTCAAGGTAGTGGCAAAGACGATGGCAAACTGCAAACAATTCCATGAATCCAAAATAATTCCGTGATAGATGATGATTGCACTATAAAATAGCAAATGGGATCCAGTATACATAAATTTAAACTGGCACATAGAGGCACCAGAGAGATAATTCTAAGTTTACGTGCAAAACAATGGACTTCAAAAAATAAGTAGTAAAGATTGAACTTTTCAGTGTGCTGCATGAAGGTC